CGCCGAACGAGCAAGATTTCCTTGAGTGGATGGCCAAGTTGAACGATCCCAACGGAACGTTACTCCAGGAGAAAATGCCGTTTGTTGACGGAGGATATGACATGGCGTGGCAACAGAAAGGATCCGGCCACTTGCGGAATTCTGTATCTGGACATGGTGCCATTGTTGGTGCCAATACGAGAAAGATCATTTCGTTTGGCATCAAGAGTAAAGTTTGCGGCTAATGCACTGCGTGGGCAAAAAAACATGCTGATACTGAGGCAGAAAACCGCCCAGCGGTACCCCAGCACTACTGTACCAGAACTCACGATCCAAACGATTCATCAGGGTCAATGGAAGCCGCTCTGGCTTTGGAGCTGGTTGTTGATCTGTTCCGTGACTCCAAAGTCATCATGCGGCGGTTCATCTAAGAAGCACAATTTTAGGTAGTTGTTGAATCCTCATGTATGGATGTTCCCATACTCAACCTTTTGGTTGGGAATCCACAACCAAATTGCTTCTAGATTTGAGCCATTTCTTGTAATCTGGACTGCAGGTTCTCTATTGGTACCCTCAGTGGTTCTAGATTGACAACATGTCTTTCTCCTCAATATGGAACTATCTATTTTGACCTCCTTTTTTGTATCTCCTACCCTCCCTGTTTGGTACCAAAACAGCTTCCCAATCCACAAGGAAAAGGTTCCCAGAAGACTGTGGCGCCAAGTTGGATGTTGGATGCGTCTCTTTGGATGGTTGGATGCGTGCTCTTGGTGTGGGTGTTCCTTGTTCTGTAAGAGGAGCACCCTGGTTTGGTGAGCTGATAAGCCCTTGATATGGATGTGATGCTGCTTCTGTTCCGCAAGGGGGACTTGGATTTAGAAGGAGGGCAATCTGTTTTGGGAAGTGTCATTGGAGAGTACTCTCTTTTCACAGTAAAATATTCAAACAGACTTCACGGAACAGCCTGCCCAGCTCCCTCTTCTTGAAAGCAGCTCACTTCGAACAACACAACAAAAGGCAACACAACACAACATGAGCGACGACAATGGTGGATGGAGCGGCCGATCGCTACTACTACTATTACGACCGAGGTAAGTCTATTATCACGTAGTGTATTATTGAAGGCGCAGCACTAACATCTCTCCCTCATTGAATTCGTATGGTAAACAGGAGAGAAATACCAGCTTGGCCGACAAGAGTGGTATACGTATACCGGTAGGAGGAGTTCTTTATCCAATCGGCCGATCGATCGATTCGATTTGAGGTAAGCCTATTATCAAGAGTGTTATTGAAGGCGCAGCACTGACTTCTCTCCCTCATTGTATTTCTATGGTATTCAGGAGAGAATTCCAAGCTCGGCCGTCAACAGGTGAGTTGCTTTAATTATTCGAATCGAATCGCACCTCTATTATCTCTGTTATCCAAGCATCACTCAAGCCGACCTTCTCCGGTGTAGATTCGAAAGCCATCCCTCATTGAATCCTATGGACGATGGGATGGCAGTCTGTTCTTGGCCCATGACGGCCAAGTTGGTGTAATTTGGAAAACAAGGGTAAGTCTCCGGTCGTCTGCAGTTCAGCACAGAAAACAAAACTCATATCTATTTGTTGTTTTCTCTGCTGCACAGCCGACGGCCGATGAACTACCATTGTCGAGGTCGAACGAACGATCGCTCCGGATGCATAATAAGAGGAGAAGCTACCACTACGGAGGCAGAGGCTCTGTTAACTCCAGCCCTACCAACAGCATGAACGAAGGAGATCGTCGTCGAGTCATTGAAAGGCAACAAGAGGAGGCTATACACGACAACTCGAAACGCACAGAGGAGAGTGGATCCTCCAACCGGATTCATCCCTCCTTGTTATTTCCTAGTGTTTGGTTGGTGATTCCGGTGTCGGTACCCATTGTCCTGTATGCACAAGCCCACGGGGCGAAGACTTGGTGGTTTCGAGGACTTTGGCTAAGTCAACACGACGGCTTGGTGTTGGTGGATTTGGCTAAGTCCACAAGGACTTGGTGTTGCTGGAGTACATCTTACCAATCTAGATAGCATGTAATGAATTAGATAGAAAGGTTATGAATTAGCAACCAAAGAAACCATTAGGAACCTAGCTTTTAGATCTAGACCTTGCTTCCCAATCTGGAACTGAGATAGGTTCCAATCCACAACCACGTGGAGGTTGCAAAAATGGACCTTGCCTTGCCAAATTGGAACCTAGCACTTGGTTGGGAAGATGCGGTTGGGATGTGCTTCCCAAACTAGACCAGAGGTTCCCAATTCAGGAACTACCTACAATTGTGCTTCTTAGATGTTGTGCTGCGACGATGATTCGTCCATCCGTGCCGACTTGCAGTGGAGCAATGCCAACTACAAAATCAACAATCAAACCGATGTTTTGCCAAAGGTGAAGATCACGAAAGGAAAGAACAAAGGGGAGCTCCAGGAACGTCCTGACAAAGGAAAACTACCCGGTGATATTCCCGAACCCAAGTTTGTGGCAGATCCGAACCACCGCCGCAAACAGTTGACGGGTGAGCTTATTCGTTTGGATCTCTCTACTGTTGAAAAAAAGAAAGGGATGTGCCGAATGGATTCTATCCGTATTGGGAAGAATTTTGCGTATTTTATTCGTACACTTCAACAGATCGAGGAATGTCAATTCGAAAGCCGTGGCAAGGCCGTCTTGGATCACCACTTTGACAACCATGCGAACTGTGGACCTTGGTGTCTCCGGTCAAAAGAGACGACGGACGAGAAAAAGAAAAGCAAGAAGGTCTACCGATTGCAGAAGGAAGATGCGGAACTGTACGATCTGCTTGAAACGATTGTTGCCAAGTACATCACGTTGGAAAGGTTGAAGGAATTGGCCCACGGCCAGGACACCAACGCCAATGAATCATTCAATAGCCTGGCCACGTGGTTCGCTCCAAAGAACAAAGTCTTTGCCAGCACGCGCTCCCTTGAGAATCGCCTGGGTATTGCGGTCTGCATCCATTCGATTGGATACGAGCAATTCTATCGGCGTCTGCTGTTCAAGCTTGGAATCGAAATGACCGACGGCATCTCTCATTACTTGGGAATTGTCCAGCGCAACCGCGAAAAGCAACAAGCAAAGCAGAAAACGAAGGAGTTCAAAATTGGGCGCAAGAAGAGGAAAACCCAGAAACTAGCCACTGTTACGGAAGAGTTCAAAACCAAGTTTGCAAAAGGGACTGGCGTTTACCACTCCGGTATCAATATGGCGGACGTCACAATGGAGGATCTCAGGACGATGCCTCCAGTTCGTAAGAAAGCAAAGAAGGCAAAGCAGTATTGTCCTTTCTGCGGCAAGGCTGGTCATGTCAGCAAGAAGGCAAAGAAGTCATGTTTGTATGCTGGCAAGAGTGACATTGAAGCTCCACCAATCTTCTGCAAGGAAACTGGCAAAAAGCTAGCTGATATTATGGCAGAGGTCACTCCACAAGGGCCAACTAGTGTTGCTGCTTCCTCACCTACAACCAACCAGCACGAGGAGGAAGACACCGTGGCACACGATGTGCTAACGTTGGCTGAGGATGCAGCCCATGATTTGAGTGCTTTGGAAGAGATGCCATTGAATACGGTCGTCCCAGGAACAGAGCACCTTGCACTTTTAGATGATGGTACATCTGATGAGGAAGATCTTGACAGCAGTGAGGATGAGGGAGATATCCCCAATACAATCTAGATTGCTAGCTACTAGCTAGATAACAAGTAATGGTTCAATGTAATGCATTGCTTTGTTTTATTCGTACAGACTTGATTCCACTCGAGTGCTACGTACTCGTCCTCTCAATACGACCGTACGGAGCGATTTCCCACGTACTCTGACATTTGAAGGTGATCGCTTCAAAGCAACGGTTGCAGGGATCAGAACATTCAAATTTTCACCTCACATTTTGGGCTGCGACCTCCTGAAACCGGGACTCGATCCGGCTCGCTGAATTCATTTGTATAGTAAAATAGTACTATGAACACGGATTGCTCACACTCGCCGGATTCGAAAAGTCTTGACTTGAAATTCGAATGCTCACTGGTCGTTTCTTGGATTCCTCCTGACAACAACGAATTTCGAAAAAACTCCATTAGCTCGAAACATCGCATGTGTGTGTTAGAGACCTCATTGTCTCCATACCTGCTGATTGTATGGCCCTACAACCATATACTTAGCGGTAGCTAATAGTGTAAGGAAGACAGTAGTGCATGGTTGCAGGGCCATACTGGCAGCAGGCATCGAGATTTATCGGTCGGAAGCAGCCGATTCGAAGAATTGAGCACTGTTCTGCACCGAGTCAGAAGGATAACAGGCGAGTCCAATACCGGTCAAAGCCCGCCATCTACACCTCGTCACTACTATTATGAACAGCTCTTGTACAAGTAAAGGTCTCCAGCATGGAACCTGTATCGATTACAACTCGCCTTTAGCAGAGGATGTTTGTTGTTGTTGTCCTCGTGATTTCTCGCGATAGAAAGTCGAAATTATTGACAGCTTCCCGCTGGCTTACTATTCGTGGCCCAGCACCTTAAGCAACTTTTGCAAGGTCGCTCGCAGCTGCACCGAAAACGCAAATTTGGAACTCAATGCTTCGCAAGATTATAGTTGATTGCTTACAGTTAGATAGTTGCTTTGGGATCTTTCCTTTTGTTGTGCCCACCCCGTTGTTGCAGTTATAATCCTCGTCATCGAATGCGAAGTGCCCAGTAGACCGAAATTTCCCCCTCTGCGCTCTTCTGGCTTGCTTGGCGCACCTGGAACAACTGGACCGGTTAGCTCCGTTGGAAGCAAATAGGGCCATATTGCAATACGACACTGTAACGATGAGTTCCCTTTTGTCTCTGGTTGGTCAAAAGTTTGAAAATTTGGATTTTGTTTGGCGGAACTGAGAAGAATACTCTGTGCAGCTCTCTGTGCGCAACCAAGACATGGAATTGCTCTTATGACGTCTTCTTATCCTTCACAAAATCGCTTGGACAGAAACGGCCATAATAACAAGATAGCATCATGTTCATTTCATCGGTCTTGTTGTTACTGTTCCAACTTTTGTTTGGGAAGGTGCTGAGTGCAGCTCCGGAGAGCACGACCACTGGTTCCGCATGCCTGTTAGGAGCAAACACTGGTGGCATTGGCCATTCTTTCGGTCACCCAAGCAACAACAGCGATGCAACGACAACGACGACGACGACTGCATCAAACAGCGCCCACATCAATGTTCAGGCTGCTTTGGACCGAATGGTGGAAACCCTGCAAGATATATCAACAGTCTATATTGAATCACAAACACAATCCTGGTTGCATAGCATCGGGTATGAGATCGTGGTCGAGTGGGGACAGAGCTTGCCTAAAGTTGTCAATGCTTCCACTCGAGCACCCAAGTTTCGTCGTCGTCTCGAACCAAACGACAATCCAACTGCAGCTGCAGCTGCCGCCAAGCCAAATGCCCAACAGGGGGATTTATTCTCGGAGGAAGCAACCTTTCAATGGGACGAAGAAAAAGATATTGAAACTTACTTTCAAAAGCTACGGACCATTTGCGATGAAGACTTTGTGCCTGGTGCCAATGATACCGGTGAGCAATGCTGGCAGTTCCTTAAGAGTCTGATGGACGACCCAAGATGCACTACAAGAATGGATTCGAGGACCGTCTGCTCGAAAAGGGAACTCACGGATGACCAGGATGAACTCGTCCCAACTTGGACTGTCCGAAAGGAAGACTTTGGTGGACACGATGCTATCAACCTCGTCATTGTGGGGGCAGGGCCAGCGGGATTGACAGTCGCCAGTGCCCTTTCAGAGCTTCTAATTCGTCAACAAGAAACAAAGGCCAGCATGTCTTCCTCATCAATGATGCCACGAATTCACATTACAATGTTTGAAAACCGAGCCAAGGCGCCCGGCATCAAGCTGCCCTACACTCGGCATTGGGGATGCTCACCCGACCTTGGAGATCTTATCGCCGTTGATCCGCGGATTGTGGAACTCTTGGAGCTCTTGGCCAATCCGTTGCTACGAGAACGAGGTCCCTGGAATCGAGTCACTTCGGTACCTCTCAATGTACTTGAGACGCTGCTTCTGTTATCTGTCCGACAACGGGGAGTCACACTAGTGTATGGAGAAGACGTTACAGAACATCTCATGGAGTTACAGCAACAAGTCCCCAACTTGCTCGTTGTAGACGCCACGGGCCACCGTTTGCATACGTTGATTCGTGAACGCAAATGTGGCTCATCGAATTCAGCCGCAGAAGGGGACAAATGCGCAACCTCTAACACAGACGAGTTGCCTTCCTTTTACGGCTACACAGGAGCACCACTATTTGAAACGCCAGACCTCAGAAACGCCTCAGTTTGGCAATGGTATCCCTCCAAGTATGTCCCTGCTATGATTGAGCAAGGCCATGTCGGGAGTCTCAAGATTGCCGAGGGCGGAGCTGGGCAGCTACTCTATCCTGTACATGCTAACACGGGCCAGCCTCTGGCGAGTTATTGGATGCATATCCATAATATTCCACCGCCAAGCGACATCAACGATCCTCCCAATATCACCAAACACTTGTTCTACCACCCATCCACAACACCATTGTGCCGAGCATGTCGTGAGAACCACCCAGAGTTTCGGCGACAGGTGGATCAGAGCATTGCCAACATGACAAGTTGGTTGGGCGATACGTCTGACTTCTCAGACCTGCCAAACTTCGATGGGGCCAAGGACTATATGGATTACATAGTCGGAATCAGGGGCTTGCAAACCAACAGTAGCGTGGATGTCTTGTGTGGAGGCGTTTGCACTCCCAACTCGTTCTATGATGGGACGGACAACTTTCGTCAAGGTATTCAAGACGTGATGCTCTCGAGGAGTCGCAGAGGAGCGCATTTGGAGCATGAAGTAGGATCCAACAAGAATAGCGACACTGATGATGGTCCCTGGTTTACTGCTCGCATCCTCAATGTCAACTTGTTACAGGCTCAAGCAGAGGTGCTAATGGACATCTTGTCGTCGCAGGGCCATGCCATGGATCCCAACGGCATGCCTATTGCCAAGCTTCCGCTAAAAGCCATGTCACACATACCTCTACTGCAGGAAAACGGATTGATGGAAACCTTGTCAACTGTGGCAGAGCACTATGCAGGTGATGGCCAACCAACCATTGCAATTTTCTTGCTCCGGCCATACCACTACAAGAATGTTACGTTGGACACAGATGTCGTTGAGTCCTTGCTACGGCATTCAAATCGGTCAAGCAACCAGGACATTGAGCTGGACCCAGACCGCACGTCCACGACATCATTGCCTCGCATCGTTCGAATTGGTGACAGTTTGTTCTCTGGAGATGTTAATCTTAACTCCGGGCTTGCTAATCACCTTGCTATGATCAAGGAGTGGATGTGTCTCTTGTCAGGTAAGGCCACTCGAGACGAATGCTTGAAATTGGGCTTTCACAAAATGGAGGCTTCTGAATGGGATGAGTGGTATGAGGAGGATGAGAATGGGGAGTGGGTATTCACCGAGTACATGTAGAGGTTGAAAAAGGGGCACCAAAGAAAGGGGGCAACACTGTGGAAACTTTGGCAACCTACAGGTAGCTAGAAGACATTTCTAGTAGCACTAATTTGCGCGAAGCATCACCCATCAAGTTCTTGGAGTGGTTCTCAGTAGTTGTTTGTAGCTTGCTACTGACACAGCAAGCTTCCATTACACCCATATCAAACTTACCAGTACTGAAGGAAATTGGATTGGAGGAGGCATTGTTGACTATGGCAGAGCAATATGCACATGACGAGGACCTACCAACCATTGCCATCTTCTTTGCTCCTCCGGCCATAGTACTACCAAGCATGTTTCCTTGGGTCGTAGACCATCAAGCAATGAGACATTGAGATGGATGCAAACAGCAAGTCCACCCCTTCTTTCCTTCACATCGTTCCAAGCAGACGCAGTTTGTTCAGTGAACCTGAATTCTGGACCGGCCAACCTCCTGGCTGCGATCAAAGATTGGATGTGCGTGTCGGGTAAGGTCACTCAAGACGAATGCTTGGAATTGAGCTTTCGCAACCTGGAAACTTTGACAAGGAGGACAGGATGCCTGGGATGATGAGGATGAGAACGTGGAATGGGTAGTTCATGTAGTTTTTGGACACTGATGAGAAAGGGGACAACTCAGAGGAAACATTTGCTTACCTACCGTAAGGCTGGGAGACTGTTGATGCGTGAAGTAGCATCCATCAAGTTGAAGAGCTGTCCTCAATTGGCACGTAGCTTCCTGCTGCGGCGGTAAAGAAGATACTGGTACTACTCATGAGAGGTGATGTGATCGAGAATGATCTAGCTAGAGACCCGTATCTGATGATCACCACGCAAAAATTGAATGACCAGCGAACAGCGATGCCCTTTGGTGGAGGAAAGACAAGAGAACTGCCGGTGAGGTTGGTTGCACTGGTACTGGTATCATCTGACGATCCGTACTGGAGTGCTCAGCAGCAAATCAGTGAGCAGCAGCTTATCAGCCTAAGCTAGCCTAATAGCTCTTCTTTAGAATGCTACCGTAGCGTGCTGAGTGGCTTTACCACCTACAGTCCTACAGTGGTACCGGTAACAGCGAACCCCAAATTAATTTTGTTTGGCCTGTCGGTGAAGAAACGATGAGAACTTCAATGCAGTGATCGTTCTGACTACGCTCAATTATATAAAGATAAGATGACCTTTATCTTAGTATTCTTAAGAGACGCTTTCCCTGGATTGTTAAACTGGCTGGAAAAGGGTTGGACAGTTGGACAGTGGCGACAGTCCACGTCCACTGACCTTCTTTCCACTTTCCACTCTCTCACGATCACACGCGATTCCGACACCGTCGTCATCAAAACTTTTCCCACCCTTGTCTCACAAAATTAATTCAAACACCAGGTCAACAATTGCTCATCACAAAAGCAAAACATAAAACAATGATGGTTCCCCAGCAAAATGCCAATTCCTTTGTCAGGTCATCCAAACAAACATTTGGTGGAAAGCCATCGGGAGCTGTGGTGGCATCTCCCTTTGATACCTTTGTGAAACAACTCCAGCAATCGTCCATCGAATCTGCATCAATGAGAAACCCAAGGATCCAACTCGTCTGCGACCATGCATCAAGTACTAACAGGAAGAACATCAAACCCCTTCAGTTGAAATCAAACTGCTGCTTGCTGAAGTCATCCCTCAAAAACTCATATCGGCAAGAACGATGGAATAGCCATGGCTGCTCCCAAACGAGAAAACACGGAGGACGATCAGCAGCAGTGAGTCCAACCATGCCAAGGCGTGTACCAAGCTTGCCTGTGGTTGCTGATGCCAAGCACTGACATTGAGAACACAAGACGCAAGCAGCAAAAAGAGGAACACCATTGGTCCATGTACGATATATGTCGCTAACTATGTGAATAGAACTATAGACAAAGCAGTTTTACAAAACTTGATTTCCAGCTAAGGTCAAATCTCTGCTTAACAAAAAGCCCCATCCCAAAAGCGGCTTCTTTGTTGTGCATTCGTGAGCTGGTGTGCTGCAACCGCAAATGTAGTTTTCTTGACACCGTACCCACTCGCGTTGCAGAATTTCACCAAAGGCAAGAAGACGGATCTAGCACTTTGTTTCCGTTCCATCAGCAGCCAAGTCATTCTCGGTGGCGCCAACCAGGACGTTGCTTCCATCAGAGGATGACTGATGCTGCGGGTAATCTTTGGGATGCTTACAAATGGATATTCAATGCTGGTGGAATTGCTTAGATTGTGCAATCTGATTTCTAAAGTTGCATCTGGCGCAGGCAGCCTACTACTAGTGGGTATAGTTTGTCCAGCCTTTGCATGAGATGATACTGAAACTCAAATCTGTGCGGATGACTCAGCTGGACAGTATCAACCTGATGCTGGAGCAGGTTGCTTCCTGGTTGCTCAATTCCTGGTATTAAAAGGCACATACAGCACAGTCTTTCAAAGTTAAATGATAAGGGAGGACAAGCTCCAGAGCAAAAGAGGCCTCCCTTTGTCGTCAAGGCGAATGACCGCGTCAACATAACCTAGAATAGATTCAATAACTTTGTCAATGTGCACGACTGCACGACCATTGATTGCGACGATTCAAGTATCAACTCTTCTGGTTCGATGGTTGATTTTCCCACAGGCTGCAATGGAAGGGCTGTGATTGAGGATCTCATGATTTTGCCCGAGAGTAACAGGCTCGCTCTAGAAACTGAAGAGCATGTCTTCAGGAGAACCAATTGCCACCAAGCTCCGTACAGGTATGAAAAGCAGGTGCTTCCCTTCCAAAAGGGCACCACCACACTTACCGAGGCCACAGGAGCGATACGCTTATCCTGTAACAGGCTGCTAAAAAGTGTTGAAGTGGGGCCACCAGAACAAGGAATCATGTGTAATGAACATTTTTGCCAGATCTTAGCTACCAAGTACCGGTACCAGATACAAGCATATGTTGCCAGGGCTAAAGTCCACTATCACTCCCCCACCATGTAAAAACCATTTTTGGCAGTCCCTCCAGCGACAAGCACGACTGACGCATCGGTTGAGTTTTTTATATGTTCTTCATACGTATACGTAGATAAACCGGCCTGCTTTGTAGAGTCATCGAGAGAGGTGCCCAGTGGTCACCCCGTAAACCTAGTCTGCTACTTAATCTCCATAGTGAAATCAAGAGATCATGATTTTTGTCTGTCACCGGTGACTGCACACAATTCTCTGCCCTGAAAACGCCCCTACTTTGTCTTCTGTATGAAACGCACACACACACACAAAAAGCTACACTACAACTCCAGTCACGATTTTCACAAAAAACAGATCTAGTACCGACTTAGACCATTTACTACAAGTATCATCACCACCTCCACTACACTACAGCCAATACTCTAATAATTGTACTTGACGTTGCGAAGGGCATCAAGGAGGCCATTCCAGAGGTTCCCCTCATTGTTCCTCCTCCAGACAAACTCGAACAAGCAGCCTTGAACCTGTTGCAGGAAAATGGAGGGCATTTTTGAGAGACTTTCCTGAAGGCACAGACCCCGTAACATCAATCTCCTGCACTGAACTCACCTGCTTTTTGGTCCTCTTGCGGACCGGCACCATCCTCTTAATACCATTCCAGGTGCCTTCAATTGTGTTGGTATGAACCTGAGAAAACCAGCAAGACAAATGAGTATTAGCAGCAGCATCAAAATAGTGTCATCCACACGAGAAACCTACGTGCCTGGGTAACCGGATCTTTGAAATGCTTGGAGTGATTTACGCCCTCCCACTGGTACAGTGGAATGCTCAATCCGTCTCCAAGGTCCAAGTCCAGATACTCAATGGCAAAGTAGACTTTCCAGTGGTCGCTCCTGATGATGGAGCCGAGCTTTATGAACTTGAGGATCAAGGGTAGCAGGGTGTTGCCAATAAGTTTCTTGAAGGTTCAGTTCCAATACTCAAGTAGTGGACTGGATCTCGCTGAAACCCTTCCTCAGGGACAGCGGTAGTCAGGCAGTTCAGGGAGCCTTGTCGTGCCTCAGGAGTATCCAACACCTCCAGTAGGCACCAAACCAAGGACTTGGTCCTGTCAGTCAGACAGGAGGGCCAGCAGAGCTCTCTGCTGGACCCTTTTGGGCCAGCTCTCCTCAGGAGCTGGGGGCCTTCGTTATTCAATCGTGCAGTGGCAGTCTGGGAACAGTACTATCTGCTACTCCTACTGCTTCCGCCCGGCCTCAACAGGATTGGTATCAACTGCTGCGGTATCAAGGGCTACAAGCTAATCAGGATCGGTCTCATCTTTCGTACTATTTTCTTAACTATGGGAAAGGACGATCCTTTCTTGCTGCTTTGTGAGATAAGCCAGCTGCGGTGCTGGAGCTGTAGGCAGCATAGCTGTTGGAGCTATCTCTGACGGGATCCAGAGCTCTCGCTCCTAGACTTTATCGCTCCCCACGAGTGCGTATGGATCCGCTCTCATGGGAATGCCACGATATACGACTGTTACTAACTAACTATCTACAAACTCTCCCATGAAGAACATCTGGCCACTCAGCATCGACTGTAGTGGAACACAATGTGAAGATTGGAGATCTCACAAGTGAGGGACTTGCATGGTTGGTCGGTGCTGACCAAAGGTAGGCGCAAATGGATTGCGTGCTTCATCAGCATGCCAGACTGGTAGGTGTCGGGGGTGCTGGTTGCTATCATAGCTTTGTTTGTTTTTTCATATGTAGACAAATAATCGTGGCTTTGCCACAGGACAATTCAGCGGGGCAAGCTCTCAGTGGAGCGGCCTTCTTGCCCCGCAATCATGTTCCTTGCTGTGGGTCTTGGGCTCGATGATCAGGAACATGAATCGATCGCCTAGGGAAAATCCAACGCGTCACCGGGATTGGCCATTGCCAAGCACTGTTGCCATGGTAGCTAGCTTCGGGGTAGAAAGCATCGTGACAGACGCTTCTGGAGAACCATGGTAGTCAGTTCCTGGGTAGGAGACACCAAGGCTGCTTGATCGCAGGTGCTTGCTTGGTTGCTCCCCATGAATTCCACCAAGAGCAGAGGTATCTGCTTGGTGGTCCTCTGTCAATGGACTGGTGATGGTTGGACCTAGCTGGTCAGTATCCAAGACAAGCACCTCATTGGGACAGTCTTTGGCATGGCTGTGCCATAGGTTGGTGGTTCCGTGGGAACAGTCTGGGAACCTTGGGCCTCCACTATAGGTGATGGACCACTAGGTTCCTGCCAATGTTGGTTGTGGTGGGACCCTTGTGGTGCTCTGTGCCTTGGAGCAGGTTGCTGGGGGTCACCCTGTGTGGGTCTCTCATGTGCTCTTGGTTGTGAGCTGACTGAGAGTGGGAGCCACATTGGTTCTATTTGGTTGTGCAACTGGAATGTTGTTGGCACAGCTCTGGAAGCTGGTTGCTTACTTGCTGGAGGTTTTGCCATCAGATCTCCCCAGAGGTTGGATGATACTAGGGCTGGCAAGCTGATAATCTCCCCATCATCACACGATGGATGGGCACCAGCGAGGGCATTCAAGGGTGTGGCACTGGGCAGCTGGTGCTGTCGCTAGTGGACACGCATGGGTCGTGTGACAGGCAACTCTCCACAGCTAGCTTGGGAGATGAGCCGTGGCTACATTGGTGGGCAGCGTGTTGGTGGCCAAGAGGGCATCAGTCAATCGTTGCTGGATAGCAGTTGCATCTTGCTTGGAACGAGTAGCCCTGTGGCGCTGCTGCTTCTTTGGGCTGTGGAGCCGTTGGGTACCAATAGCTGTCACCAGTCGGCTTGTGACGCCATCATCACTGCCATGGCTGACAGTGGAGTGGCATTGGTCTCCCCATGAACTGGTGGTGTCAAAGCAGGTGTAGGTGCTGTGACAGGTGGCCTAGCAGCTACCATGACCAAGGCTTCCAGTTGAGTTGTCAGTTGGTCCTTCAACGCGATGAACTGAGCTTCCATCTTCGCTTGAAGGTTTCGTGGTCAGCTCTCATGAGGTCGAGTTGCTGGGCACCGGTGACCTGTTGCTGTTGAAAGTGGATCAGCATGTCTTCCATGGCTGGGGTATAAATGGGATCTGGATGACAACTGGAGCTGTCAGGAGACAGCTCTGAAATCTCCCCATCACCCAGCTGGTGGTTGGTCCTACCGCAGGCCATGGGTGCCGGCCTCTTCTCAAGGATGTCGAAGGGTGATGTGTATGCGTCTGGTGGGGACACTGTTGACACAGGTGGTGCCGGTGTCTTCTCAAGAATGTCAAAGACGGATTTGTATGCATCTGGTGGTGACACTGGTGGCTGTGTGTCTCGATGCCGGTGGCAGTAGGCTAGGTTGCTGTTGCCAGCTCCATCGTGGTGTGTGGGGCGGGCACATGCGGTGTAGCTACTTTGGACTTGGGGCCCAGGGTAGGCGTGGTGCCACCAACGTTCGGAGTAGCCAGGTGCATAAGGGTCGCTCACATCGCTGTAGAAACCATAGAAAGACATGGTGCCTCTTGTTGTCTGTCACAGGAAGAGGTGTAGGCTGTACTTGGTGGCAACACTGGATCTCAGCTCTTGTTGCAGTGCAATAAAGGCTGGCTCAACTGTAATCTGGAATCCACAAAGATGACCTCCAGGAACCTTGCTATGGGCCTGGAAAATTCAATCTAGGTGTAGTTGAATAAGGTAGCCAGTGTAGAGGGTCTGGAACCTGTTTCCTGAATTGCCGTGGTGCTGGGAATTGGCTTGGATTTGTGAGATTTTGCCTCACTGGAAGCTAGCTTACTGGGATCAATGAATCTCCCCACAGAAGCTCCAAAAATTCAAGGTGAGATACCCACTGACCAATTGAAGGGTGGCGGATCCACTGGTAACACTTTCAGCCAAGCGAATTGACCTCTTGGTTGTCTCGAGAGCTCTCGAGTTACTCAGTTCGTGAAGATGGATTCTTCGTACCGAGCCAAAGATCGCGATTTCGTGCCGAATCCAATGACTCGACCACGTAAAACCTTTAAAATGTGAGCGCAGCGAGCTTACGTGATGTGTGTCTGCTTTCGGAACGGAGAACTGGTACGGGGAACGTCGCCGTATAAGTCTTCGAGATCCAGGATCGATCAGGAATTCTTCACAGTTCCGCGTGACGTTGAATTCTGACTCAGTGCACTTTCAATAAGTACCGAAACGATCCGGTGAACTTCGAAAACTGCACGGGCCTTCTGATTCGCTGAGCGACTTTCGTGGAACGCGTTCTTGGAGATTCCTTGGCTTTGAAACCAGTTTAGGACGGAAACTCGTGACAATAGAAAACTGCACGGACGCCTGATGTGCGTTCCGTGGAATCACGAAAGATATAAGCCAATACACCGACAATAAATCACGTAATTCGCTGAAAGTGATATGCCCTTATCAAAAGAGATATGCCAAGTTCCTTCGGACGTAAAAGGCGTGGTATCAGTAGCCAAAAGGGGTGCGAGCCAATAAGTCTCCGAAACTCCAACACGGGACCAGTAGACGAACTGCTTCTTCTTTCGAGTGAATTGGCTGCTTTTCCTCTCTTCGGTGCGGTACGGTACCTCAAGTCAATGGCGACGTTGTCAAGATGGTGGGAATCTAGGTCCTTGTGGGACGGCAATGGGCTTTGTGGTGGGGTTGTAGATTGGAAGATGGCCAAGTCAAAGCTTCCTGTCACTGTGGTGATAGCTGGAACTATCAAAATCGATCAGAAGGTTGTTGACTTGGGACTTCGAATGTAGGCTTCGAAGTGCACTTCAAATCCCGATGAAATCCAATGAATCCAACTGTAGCTGTAGCACTGATTGTTGTATTTCGAAGAGATCCTTTTCTCGTCAAGGAGGTCTCTTCTTCCCTGAAAACTGCCTGAATTCTATGCTGACTGTTAATCCAATAAGTTTCTTGAAGGTTCAGTTCCAATACTCAAGTAGTGGACTGGATCTCGCTGAAACCCTTCCTCAGGGACAGCGGTAGTCAGGCAGTTCAGGGAGCCTTGTCGTGCCTCAGGAGTATCCAACACCTCCAGTAGGCACCAAACCAAGGACTTGGTCCTGTCAGTCAGACAGGAGGGCCAGCAGAGCTCTCTGCTGGACCCTTTTGGGCCAGCTCTCCTCAGGAGCTGGGGCCTTCGTTATTCAATCGTGCAGTGGCAGTCTGGGAACAGTACTATCTGCTACCTCCTACTGCTTCTGCCCGGCCTCAACAGGATTGGTATCAACTGCTGCGGTATCAAAGGGGCTACAAGCTAATCAGGATCGGTCTCAATCTTTCGTACTATTTTCTTAACTATGGTAGAAAGGACGATCCTTTCTTGCTGCTTTGCTGGAGATAAGCCAGCTGCGGGTGCTGGAGCTGTAGGCCAGCATAGCTGTTGGAGCTATCTCTGACGGGATCCAGAGCTCTCGCTCCTAGACTTTATCGGTTGCTATCCCTATTCTCCACTGTTACAGCAAACATCTTCCTCTCGCCTGTCAACTCCACACCACCAAACACCCACACACCTTCAACCCTGTGCCCGCGGTGGTACTTCCTCTTTCCAAACTTGCTCTCATCTATCTCCACGACCACTCCTTCTCCTCCAATCTGTCCATCCTCGCTCAGCACAACAGCGCAAACCAACTGATGCACGTACGTTGTCCACTGGTTCACTTTCGTTTTTGACCAGCCCGTGTAGGTGGCAATCTGTTTGGATGTAGCACCAGTTAACCAATAGTAAAGAAACTTCATTAGATGTCTCTTGCCACCACGGTGATCAGCAAAGAAAGTCCCATAGTAGATAGATTGGGACCGTTCTTTGTTGTCATTATCCCTTTTGCAGGAGCGACATCTGCACCTGACGCACTGGTCCCTATTCGGTGGAGCCAATGCCCCATCACACAGGGGACAAAACGTGGGAACAGAGATGATGCACTCGTCAACTAGGAATTGGGCAGTAGATTGCTCAGTACGGAATAGAAAATTGATTGCATCCATTGTGGGGACACCCTCCTTGCTGTTGGTGTTGGTGAGCACGCTCATGTAGTCCTTGGATGTACTGTCATGGTTGAGAGCTCTCTCCACGGGATCCATCTTTTCAGCTTTTTGGTATGTGAAGGAACCAAAAATAGTGGCTGACCGATGGGGAGTTCCTTCTCTTGCAGGAAAGAGGAAAAAGGTATCTTTTTGCATTCTACGTACTGCTACACATGATCATACGGAACGTACAGAGGAAGCCATACAGAGACCAATGATCACAAACAGCCAACATGACGAACACGTAGATAGATAAACAGTCTAGAATCTTCTTAATACTACCCCCGATCTAATACACCCTAGCATCTCTCCATTGGCTCTACGTATCACTCTACCCTGGCATGGTATCTATCACGCCAGACAATGCAGGAACATCGCTCAACTAGCCGTTCCTTCACGAACTGAAAACTGCCTCCAACACCGAAACCTGCCTCCAACACCGGCATTGCCTCACGTGCAATCAACCTTGCCTTGGAAGCACTCAACTAGTCGGTTGCCCCTCACCAAACCCATCTTGTGCATCTGACTTGGACCCTCACGGAACCCACTGCACTCCCTCTGACATGAGCCCCAGTAGACCACCGTACTCACTCTACTGGGAAACTGCGACCCTGCCTCTTGGCTCAGCAAAGGTTGATTGTCACTTCTTTCTCTCATTTTTCTGGTCAGCTCCTTTTGACCAGAGGATACCAACACCAACCATGTCGCGCAAAGACGACAGGGCTTATGCCACGGACGATGAAGAAACCAAACGCCCCCCAGTCATGAACTCTACCGAAGGGTACTTCATTCCAACTCCCAAGTTTGTATCTAACCAACGTCGTGACTCCACCAGCAAAGAAACTGGAGAACGGCAAAAGCGCAAATTCAGCGAGGCCTTCGGCAATGACAAGGGGGGCTTTTTTTCTGATGTTGTCTGGAACAGCATGACCAGCACCAAGAAACGTAAGCCCAACAAAGTCGCCATGTCAACGTCCAACTCTTGGAAAAACAATGCCAACCAGAACAAGTCCAAGTGCAAGAAGACTCCGGTTGTTACAACCAAGAAGATCCCACCGAAGCCATTGCCGAAGGAAGAGTCTGATGATGAAGTTGAGATTGTGGCTCCTCCGGCTGGCTACAAGCCCATCCTCTCTGATTGGAAGGACCCCAAGAAGGCATCACAAGTGCAGCAGGCTTTGCTTGAATCGGATACGGACTCGGATGACAGCTTGTTTGCTACAAAGGAATCTGCAGCAGTTTTCAATGCCCCTCCGACAGGACGTCATCGCAGAACATCAGCCAGAGCAGAAGAAATTTGCAAGAACACTCAGATTGCCATTCCGGGAACATCTTGGAGGAAGATGATGGATGCACACACCAGTACAACAATGGAACTTTCGGACGTTCGATCCAAAGTCACTTCTGTGGGAAAACTCACAACAAAGGTTGTTTCTGCACTACGCTAAAAGCTAGTGTAAAGATCTTTCGAGTGTTTTGAGTTTGAGAGAATGGAAGTTATGAGAGAGATTAGAAAGCTATGAAAACTAATCAACGAGAGAGATCATCATCAAGGGATCGTAGATCTGGTCTCCCGCGGGAGACTATAAAGTGTGATAGAGTAGGTTGCGGTAGTAACCCTACGTATCTCCACGATCCTAAAACGGAACACGTGGAAGATTCGTCTAGCATGGATCTAGTAGCGTGGAAGTACTCCACGCTGGCTAAATATCTAGAGCGATGTTTCATCATCAACCTAGTATGACTAGAGCGGTCATTGAGAACCCTGTCTCAAATGACTATTCACGAGAGACTCAGTCATGAGTCGAACTCAAACCCTATCTAGGATCGAGTCGCGAATAAGGCTAAGAGCCGTGTATTGCATTCGCCCCCTGACAAGGGTCACAGAAGGCGCGACAGCAGTCGGACAAGGAGAACATATGATTTAAAGTGCGGGGCACTCTCATGAGATTTGGATGTAGACATGTGCGTCGCACGATGGCAATCCTACAAGGGGATCAGGCCTTGTATGGGTGTATATACCTTATGTTCCAAGTCTGGTAGACTGTGCCGCCATTGGCGGTAGCATGTCGGAGCCGTATAGTGCTATTGTCATTGACTCGGTCTATAGTGTAAGGACCTTTGTACTTTGGCTGACCGTACTTGCGGTGCTGATACTGTTGAATCATCACGGTATCGTTGACATTGTATTGATGAGGGACACGCGTCGCGTTTTCCCTATCGTTGTTTTGTTGGATTAGTCGTTGGCGACGTTCCTTGATGTACTTCCAGTTGGCTTCGAACCGGACGTTGTGAATCGCGTCACGATTGAACACGAGCTGCGCGGGCGTTGCACGCAAGGTGGTATGAATCGTGGCATTCATTGCAAAGCGAACCGCCGTGAGGACTCCATCCCAGGATCCATTCACGAGGTCGTCTTGGCACTTGATGTTTTGAACAGCGATCAAGTTGCGTATGGTCTGATGAGCACGCTCGACCATAGAGTTGGCTTGAGGGTTACGCGTAGTGATGAACTTGCGACGAAGTCCATATTCATCCCGGAGAGTCTTTTCGACCTCTGCGCGGAACTCACGTCCTCTATCCATGATAACCTCAGCAGGCCATGGATACCGAGTAAGCCACGTTTGTTCTAGGACGATGGCTACTTCGTCTGCTGCCTTGGAGCAGATCTCTGCAATCTCGAACCATCCGGTTACGGGATCAATCATTGTCAAGCAATGAAGTGTGCAGGAATTCTTTTTCTTAGGATCCCCGACGTTGTAGGGACCTATCAGGTCAATACATAGTCTTTCCCAAGGGATCTCCTCGCAAGTCTTTGGAGGCATCAATCCCAGCTTACGCGTCTTGGGTTTGTTCATCTGGCAGCTCTGGCAACGCTGACATACGGCCTGTACAGTCTTGCGCAGTCCTTTCCAGGTGTAGTGTTGGCTGATGGTCAGTTCTGTGCGAGTCTCGCCAGGATGCATCAGTACACCATGGTACCATTCGACTAGCTTCTTCTGCATAGTTTTAGGTACGACGATTTTATCGTCCTTAACTACTAAGTCGTAAGACTTATCCCCTCTGGGGAAAGATTGCTTCTTGTAGTCGTTTGGCTTGTCCCTGAGGAGTTTCTTGATATCGTTGTCGTCTTTCTGACGATGTTCGATCTCGGGGAACGAGAGAGGGAACTCGCTAGGGAAGTCCTCTTCGTCTGCAGCCATGAGCTCAGCGATCTCGCTGGCGTCCATTTGTTCTGAAGAACCGTCGTTGTTGGAGATGTTATGTTAAGTCTCGACAACGCATCAGCACGATGTTCTGTTCGCCCTGATGTACCGTAGTTCAGGGCGTATTCTTCCAGAATAAGCGCCATCGCATTACGCGATCGGTATTGAAGTTCTTACATGTAAGATTCTTGTGGTCCATATGTACAACAATCTTCTGTCCTAGAAGAATGTTACGGACTCTTTCAGAGTTTCTAAGATACTGAGAAGTTCCTTCTCGGTAACGTTGTAGCGTGTCTGAGCAGGGTTGAGCTTCCTGCTGTAGAACGCGATAGGTTTTCCCTTCTGGGAAATTACTGCACCTATTGAGTATCACTCGCATCCGTATGTGATAACGAATGTATCGTTGAAGTCAGGGTAGGCGAGCAAGGTTTCTTTGCTGATGATCTTCTTCCATCTGGCTAAAGGCTTGTCGTGTTCTGCTTCCCATTTCCACTTCGTTGTTTTGGAAGTCAATGAAGCGAGTTGGAGCCAGTACATGTGATCGTTCTATCCACATGTCTCGATAGTAGGTTCTAGTCCAATGAATCTACGGAGTTCTTTTCTGTTAGTAGGAGGACGATATTCTGGATCGCGTCTATTTTCTTGGTTATAGGTTGGATCCCTTCTCGAGTAATCAGTAACCTAAGTTATTCAAGTTCTCCTACTGCGAGAAGGACATGGTAGCATTGATCTTAAAAGTCCGGCTTTCGAAGCCTTCGAGAGAACTTCATCCAACTTTTCAACGTGATCTGCCAGGTACATCTCTCTCTTTT